AAAAAAAAAAAAAAAAAACTCCTAAATATGAGTCTAAACCATTTACAAACTCCTTGATACGAGTATAAACTATCTAAAGTCCTCAAATTAAAATTCTCCATGACCATGAGACTAAATTGCATGTTACTCCTGGTGCGCAAGAGTATAAACAGTGCACGACGTTCCCTTGAAGGAAAATGTGCTTTGAATGACATTATGTCCTGGAATTGATCCCTCAGATAGTTGGCTCGGCTTTTCGATGATTTCTTCATTCATGTCTTTAGATCTTGGGTCGGTATGGTGTAAACTCACTTTACTCCACAAGCTTGTTGATGGTAGAAAGTTTATCTATGAGCTTTGATAGATGAGCTTTATGTCTTTGAAATTCGTATGGCATATCTCCATGATCTAAATCATTCATATCATGTTGGTCGTCTACTCCCGGCAAAGTGCTATGCGGTGATGAGTTACTCCATTATGTGTGTTTGCATGCTGAAAGACATTGTTGAACCATGAATTGCTATGTGGTGTTGATACGGTTCACGGCCTTTGTCCACTGATGATGTGTCAAGTATGTAGTGGCAAAATACTTCTTTTGTTGAAGGATGCGCATGTCATGTTAATCTATGTCGCCTTAATCAAATGAGTTGGTGTGGTTTCAAGTTGCTTGAAGAAATATTTCTATTTTCAAAAGAGTTTGTTGTTCACGTCATGTTGATTGATATCGTCTTTTCTCGACAATGTATGTGATGGAAAATCATGATAGTGGTGATGGCTTGTTTGTCCATGTTGTCCCTCCATTTGGTTTGATCGTCGGTGATGATTACTCATGACTTAAACTTCAAATGAACAGTTCTGAAAGTTGAGTTGGCCTTTGCGATGCGCTATCTTGAGTTTACGTTGAAAATTGATGGTCCCTCCGTGCAGCTTGGCCGGCGAGATGTGTCGTCCTAAGTGTTGATGTTGTGCAGCAAGATCGATGGTCCCTCTGTGCAGCTTGGCCTGTGAGATGTGTCGTCCTAAGTGTTGATGTTGTGCAACGAGGTTGATGGTCATCCATGCAGCTTGATTCCTCTGAGCAGCTTGGCAAGGTTGATGATTCCTCCGAGCAGCTTGGCTTGGTGAGATGTGTCATCCTGAGTTGATGTTGAGCTGCAAAGTTGATGTATTCTCCATGAGGTTGTCAGAGCTGGCCTAGTGTTGACAGTAGCTCCATCTCGTTGAGTTGGTTTTTGTTGAGTTGGTTGTGGTGAGCCGTTTGCAAGATCCATGCCCGAACAGCTCCCAAACCGCTTCGCTTCAGCCTCGGTTCAGCACGGACAACTCCAAAAAAGCCCCAATTCGGCCCCAACAGCTCCAAAACAGCCCCACTTCGGTCCGATTAGCTCCAAAACAGCCCCGCTTCGGCTCAAACAGCTCCAAAACAGCCACAATTCGGCCCGAACAGCTCCAAAACAGCCCCACTTCGGTCCGAACAGCCCCAATTCGGCTCGAACAGCTCCAAAATAGCCCAACTTCAGCCCGAACAGCTCCAAAACAGTCCCGCATCGGCCCGGGCAGCTCCCGAATATATTTGTTTCATCCCGGACAGCTCCCGAAGTGATTCGTTTAAGCCCGAACAGTCCCGTTGGAAGCCGAACATCGCTTAGACAACCTCGTTTCAGCCCGAAAGAAACCGAACTACTTCGTTTACGCCTTAACAGTCACCGAGTAGCCCCGTTTCCTCTTCAATAATGTGCTGGCGCAAACGTAACAGGAAAAAAAAAAAGAAGCATAGAAAATGAAAAAAAGAGCATGATCATACCTCTTCGTCAATTGATCGAGCACCTGTTGGTCAGAAACCTGGATGATGAATATTTATATACTGACGGGAGTATTGGATGGCAATTCGATGCACACGCAAATTTTGAAATATGTGGGAAGTTTAAACTCTGCATGATTTATGTAAAATTGGGGCCAACATTTTATATGTACTTGGGCCTTAGTTTAATGAAGATCACGTGCTGAAAGAGTTGAGAATGAGGCTAATAATATGGGCTTATGCACATGGGCCATTTAAGGTGACTAATTGGAGTGATAATGGCCTTAGTTTAATAGTCCATTTAAGGTGTCTTGGGCTTTCTTAAATTTCATAAGTCCATATCATTGTTCGCAAGACCCAAGTTAAGAATCGTCACTTATTCACTCCAAGACACGTCGTCCGTGAACAAGTCGCGAGGGGGCATTTGTAGACAATTAAATTTTGAGCCAATTAAATGGCGACAAGTGTCAAATTTCATGTCAAAATCAATTTAATAATTTTCTATTTTATTTGGGAAATTAATCACATTTTAATTCCTAAATTAAATAGTTAATTAATTAATTTTTTAATATATATTGTTGGCCAATTAAAGAATGCCACATGTATATTTTGAGGACCAATTAAAGAGTGCCACATGTCATTTTCTTGGAGAGTAAAATAAATAAATATTTATTTTAATAATTATTAAAGAAATAAATAAATAAAAATTCATGGACCAATCAGATTGAAGTCTTCTTTTTCAAGACTCTCTCTCCTAATTATCTTTTTAAGTAAATATTAAGAGATAAATATTAGAAATTATGGACCAATCAAATTGAAGTCTTCTTTTCCAAGACTCTCTCTCCCAACACCTATAAATAGGGACCCTCCCTAAGGTGAAAAAAAAAAAAAAACAGAATTCATATTCAAGTTTTCAAGTTCAAGAGCTGTAGAGAATTCTCTCCACGAGATTCAAGTGTTCTTGAAAATCCAAAGGCGTTCTTGAAGATCCGAAGGAAGATTCAAGCACGTTCAAGTCCAAGACCGACGTTCAATCCAGAAACAAGCTGCCAAGCCTCCGAATTGCGTTATTAAAGTTCAAGTGTTTTGAAGATTCAAAGGCGTTCTTGAAGACCCGAAGGAAAATTCAAGCGCATTCAAGTCAAAAACCGACGTTTAATCCGGAAACAAGCTGTCAAGCCTCCGAATTACGTTATTAAAGTCAAAACCGGCGTAGAGAAGATCAAAATCAACTTTGCGGCGAAGACCAAGGATTCGTGTTCTTCACGTTCTTGGAAAATCACGACGTTCGATTCGAGATCAAGCTATCAAGCCCTCGAAGAAACGTTATTTAAATCCATATTCCAGACCCGCGGAAATCAAACTGAGGATTCGTCTCCAAAAGTCTCAAAACCATTTAAAGATCGTTCTTGAAGAAATTAATCAGAGGAAAAATAGAGATTTGTAATCCACTATATTTCTTTTGATCCATTGAAAATCCATTTGTACGAAGTTCTCGTGTTTATTAATTCAATAATACGAAATTTTGCGTTACAGAGTTATTTTGGTTAATCATAGTTAATTTTGAAAAGGTAGTATGGTTAGTTGTTAATAGAATTTTAAGAATGTATTAAAATAATATTTAAAATAAAATGATTAAAATTGATTTGATGTAAAAGTAAAAAAAAAATAAATGATTAGAAATGACAGGTACTTAAAAATATGTGAGTGGATGAATAGTGAATTAAAATTTATGTGATGTGTAAGAATGATTGGTTTGTATTATTTAATTATATAAATAATATTAAAAATAGTGAAATTGAGTTAAAGTTGAATTAAATTTTTAATTAAAATAAAAATAAATAAATTAATCCATAAACAAGCAAGCCGGGCGTGCCTAATATTGAAACATACCACGACCCACTTGAGAAGAAGACATAGCGCCGGTCTCTACGGCTATCAAAGATATCAGAGGCCACTGAAGGTATTCTCGGTTGAGTGTGAAGAAGGTACTAGTGTAATATATATTTTTTTTATTATCAGTAATAATAATCATATTTTAATCAATCCATTTTTTAATAAAGATTGCATAGAATATTTTAGTTAATTTAAAAATAGGTTAATATTTTGATAAAAAAATAACAAAAACAAATACGTAAGTTACCAGAGATGAAGATGACAACTCGTAAGATTATTAAGTTTGTATTAATCAAATTTTATAATATTCTAATAAAAAATATTGATAATAAATTTAAATAAATTAATTATTCGAGTCCATCTATTCATGGAATGTTTTATAATATTCTAATAAAAAATATTGATAATAAATTTAAATAAATTGATTATTCGAGTCCATCTATTCATGGAATGTGTATGAATTATTGAAATATTTATTTTTGTATTTCTTTATGTGTATGAATTATTGAAATAACGGTATTGGGTTTGTATTATCAAATTTTATAATATTGTAATAAAAAACATTGATAATAAATTTAAATAAATTGATTATTCTAATAAAACATGAAAACAAGCTGTAAATATTTATTTTGTATTTTTTTTATTTGTATGAATTATTGAAATTAACCCTTTAATGTTATTAAATATAATTTAAAATATTTGTAAATTTGTGAAACATGTGGGTAGTATTGAAAAGTTGTAAAAATTATGGAAAGAGAATATTAATTTGTAAAGTTGTGAAACATGTGGTAATATTGAAAAATTGTAAGGAAAAAAAAAATATTCTTTATATCTAAAAATAACTTTTAGAGAAAATTGGTGTTTGATGTGATAGTGGTAGAAAATGGATTTGAGAAATAAATTTATATTTGGATCGAAGATAATCTAATTAAAAAAATACATATTTATAACAATTATATGAATTAAAAAATGAATGAAAGAGAGATTTAAATATGTGAGGTAATAATGTAAGATGAAATAAATATTTAGGGTTGATTCTAATTTCTAAGTCAATTTTGTTTTTAAAATTTTTATCTGAACTTAAATACAAAACATGATATTTTGATACGTATGATTTTAAAACGAGTCTGTCACTTAAGCTCTGGCACGTTTTGAATTAATATATAGATGGCTCTGCACGTTTTGAATTAATATATAGATTACAACATGAGAGATTTGATAACCAAACATTATTTGATTTTTTCTCATGTGTTAATAAATTGTTGAAAAAAAAAAAATCAGAATATATAGCACAGACCATATTTGTGCACTTAGTTCCCAAAATCCAATTTTCAGTTATTTGTAGCAAATAAAAAGAGGAAAGATGCAGGCGGCGCTAATACCACCGCCGCAAATCACGCTGACGGGACGACCCATCACCACCACCAGACTGCAATTTCTTGTCCACAGCAAAAATATTACTGTGAGAGGATCGGAAACAGGAAACAGCCGCCAAAATCAGCTGCGTCGGCTCTCAATCAGCAGCCGTCTGAGCGACATGGCGGCAGCATCACCGCCGCCCGTCGGGACTGTCCCTAAATGGGCACAGAAGACTGTTACCATACCCGGAAAGAGGCGAGGCTGCCATGACGTCACCCCTCAGGTGAAATTACTGTATCAAGCTTCAATATTTCATAGCTCTTGCTGTTAAATTGCTGAATCGCGTGTCCATTGGATTTCAACTGCTATGAGTTTGCTGTGCTGTAATCGCCTTGAATCGGGTTATGTATCGTGTTTGTAGTCTTTTACCTAGGTTTTTATCTAGCAGAAATGGTGCCATTGGATATGGATTATTTTGGGAAAAATTGTCTCAGTAAGTGATGAAAAAAAATGGGAAAAATCTTTTGGTTGGAAGAATGTATTGATTATAAGTTTGTGAATGGATATGAGATAAAACGAATCTTGAGACAGTAAAATAATGATTGTAAATAATAAGAATATGTGACTAAATGAAAGTAAATTTAGTTGGAAAATGTGTGTAGTTTTGATTGATTTATATATTGTAATTGTGTTGATAAGATTGAGAAGAAAAATGGTATAAAAATTTTTGGGAAAAATTATATTCGATCACAGTTCTAATGAAAAAAATGTGTCCCATCACCGTGCTTCTGCTGCATCTGATCACTCAATATTTTTACCTGCTGATTTTTTCTCCAGAGTGTAACTATTGAAATAACTTCAGCCTTAATAGGAAAATGGAGGGATTCTTTTTAGCTACCTTTTGATGCCTTTAAAGCCCATATTACCAATTGATTGGATGAAATTGATTATAAATTCTTTTAGGATCCTATTTTTTAGCTTCATTATTTATTTTTGGTTATAGTTGTGGACTTCAGTTCATCGTAGTCATTTGAAAACCTTCCCTTAAACAATAAACACTATCTTCAAACTCAACCCTCTTACATCCAAATGCAAGTTTATTGTAACTATATGCCTCGACACACCCAGGTCATGCCATTTCTCGAGCATTTAATAACTACATTTAATGCTAAATATTTCTTATGCCCTTTCTCCTTTTGCCAGCAGCTCTGGTTATGGTGGAAACTTATATATTATTCATGTGTATCCCAAAAGTGAAAGAATACTTTCCTTCTTTTGTGTAGTTGCTCAACAAAAAAATTACAGTTTTTTGGCAACTATCGACTTCGTGTTGCTGATTGGATTTACAACATGTTTCTTTAGATTCTGAAGGAGATTGCACAAGACCTATCAGGCTTTAAATGTGGCCTTGCCCATATTTTCTGTAAGTTTCCTCAACCTATTTCAAGCATCTTCCCCACTTCCTCTTCCGACAGTTTTCTGAATCTGAATTCATTTCTGTACAACAGTGCAGCATACAAGTGCTTCTTTGACTATAAATGAAAATTATGATCCTGATGTCAGATATGACACGGAAACATTTTTGAACCGAATAGTTCCAGAGGTAAGTTTTCTTCTCTCTCTCTCTCTCTCTCTCTCTCTCTCTCTCTCTTTGTTTGTCAGTTTCTTTACATGGTAGGTTTTAGTACTGTTGGCAGATTTATATCATTTTTTGATTAATGATTTCAGGGAAGTTCTGCACCATGGAGGCATACTCTGGAAGGTATCTTCTTGATTCCTTGTCCCAGACTGATTATAAGATACAGAAGGGGATAATTTATAGAGAGAAAAGTTCGTGTTCTTTAGATTCGATACTACGGTAGATGCATTATTGCTTCATAAAGAGAAAAGTTCGTTTTCTTTAGATTCAATACTACGGTAGATGCATTATTGCTTCTTTGGAGTGTCACATTGGTTGAAAAATACTTCATTCTTCAATGATTGCATGACGATGATTAGCAATCATTAAAAGAAAACCATGCACATTATGGTAAGTCGAGCAATGTACTCATTCATATACGAGATGATAATATAAAGGACCATTTGCAATCAATCATCCTCCCTCACATGCATATAATGTAGGTTTAATAGGCATCTTTACAGGTGAGAGACAAAGTTAAGAGAAAAATGGGGAGAATTTGAGACGTACCGGAATCTTTAAAATTGTACAGCCGGAAAGAAAAGCTTTAGTAGGCATGAACATGCAATTATCAGCAATCGAAGCCTTTAGTTAAACAATGCACATGGAGTTATCTATTGAAATAAGATGCTATACTTTTTGTGGTCATTTACTTGCATCGATTTGCATGGCTACCACTAGCTAGCATATCTCTGATTGAAGCTTCATGTTAACCTTCGCTTGTTTTCCATTTGTCTTTATTACTAGTAATACAGGCAGTTATTGTATCTAATGGCACACTGAAAAACAGAAATGTTAATTATTTATTTATAGGCTATATTTGTTTGTGCCGTAAGCTATTCAACCTTAGTGTCCCACCGCCATATAATCGATCAACTTTAGAGTAAAGAAGTAAAATTTCTATTTCTTTCTTTGATCTGATAACATGTGGATAGGGATTTTACGTAATGTAATCTTTACAATTACAGGTGCAGACGACATGCCAGCACACATTAAGTCATCTATGTTCGGCTGCTCCCTCACGTGAGAATTTTGAACATTATATTCGATTTTTACTGTTGTTTTATAAGTAGCGAAAATTGATGAACAATCTTTTGTAATATCCCATTTACGCAGGGTACCAATAACAGAAGGAAGATTGAACATCGGAACTTGGCAGGTATTATCTGAAAAATTGCTGCTTAATATGTCTTAATATTTATAATAGTGATTTATATTTTTCATTTCATTTATTTTTTCCCAGGGTATATGGCTATGCGAACATCGTGATGTTCCTACGCCACGCAAAGTTGTGGTTACTCTTAATGGGATGTGAGACTTTGCTTTCTACTAAACATATTTGAACTTTCAAGTAATAAATTTGCCTTGTATTTAACTGTTCTCCTGTAATCTTCGACCGAGTAAAATTATATTTAACTGTTCTCCTGTAATCTCCGACCGAGTAAAATTATGCAGTAAAAGTGGTGGGTGTTAAAATATGTAGGAGTTTATCATCCCTTGATGTAATGTAAAGTTGTGCTATCAGTAAAGGGAGATTGAGATAGAGCTAGCAAAATGATGTTATATGTGTATGTTTTTATAGAATTTCTATAAAACTATACGACTCTTCTAAGATAACACTACTCATAGTCCCACATCGTTAGTAGAAATTTAACATAGTCAACGTGTAGTTAGTCGTGTAAGAAAAAGTAAAAGTGAGCAAATGAGGTTTCCACTCAAATAAATTGTTAATTAATATTAATTTCATTTTTGGGTAAAATTCCACCGTAAATGGATATGATAAAAAAAATGTACTCTATTTTAAAAAGAGCAAAATAATAAAATAATACAACAGTTAACCAATAAAATTTGTAGCAAATAAATAATAAAAATTGTGAGAGAATATGATATGTTATTTGATAATCATCTTTGAGATTTTTTTTTCTTTTTTTTTTTGTAAGTAAAAAGAAATATCGATAAGGGTTGATGACCAGCATTTTCTCTTCTCCTCCTATGGGTATGTTTGTTTATAAACTATCTAAATTTATATACTCAAAATTTAAAACAAACTATCTAAATTTATATACTCAAAATTTAATTTAACTTTACAACAACTAAGGATGCAAACGAACCGAGCGGCTCGCGAGCCGTTCCCGAGCGCTCGAGTCAAAGCTCGACTCGAGCTCGAGACCATATTTTGCATTGTAGAACGGCTCGAGAAATATGTTAAATTACTAAATACCCATATATATATATATATATATATATTACAATAGTATAACATAGGTGCTTAATGGTAATTTTATTTTTCTACTTTAAATTTTTTAAGTCGAGCTCGAGCTATTGTAATTCTTTATTGAGCCGTAAGCCTCATAAATCGAGATTGAGCTCGAGCAGTTAAAAAAAAAAATCGATCCTTCTCGATAAGGGTAATGCTCGACTCGACTCAACTCGTTTGCAGCCCTAACCACAATCTCATTATCTTCAATATTGTTCATATAATTAAATAACATCAATCAATTATTTTTGCACATGAACTTTAATTCATTATTCGTCAACTCATGTTTAATTAACATCACTTCGCATCCTCATACTTTTCTATTAAATCAACTTTATTTATTTTATTTTAAATATTATTTTAATATAAACTCAAATATCTCATGAACAACTAACCATATAAATTTTCAAAAATTAACCATTATTAACCAAATACTCGTTTTGAGCAGATATATTTTTATCCAAGCACACCCTAAGATTTTCTTATGCAATTGACTTTGAGAAAATAATAATAATAATAATAATAATAATAATAATAAAAGGAAAAAGGAAAAATCTTGCACATCCACACAGATCATGGGTTTATGCTTTTCTTGCAACATATATCTGTAATGGTGCTGCTGCTGCTGTAAAATTCGATACTCCGATGGTCAAAAGCCGCCGGAAATCTCAGGAAAAAATATCAACGAACCCAAAATCTCTAGTTTCTGCCGAAATTAAATGAAATTTCAAATTCACTATTTCTGCAAATGCAATTATCTTTCTACTCAATCACCCAAAAGTATGGATGAGAAAAGGTTGGCACTAGCATGAAATACAAACACAACACGATCCTATTCGATAACATTACATGACAGACGACATTACACCACGAAATTACAATTATAGTTAAATTTTGAATTATTATTGTATGTATGGTCAAGTAAAATGGATAA